CAATAACACCCTTTTACCATATCTGTATACTGAGCAAATTATTCATGAAGGTGAACTCTATGAAGAAAAATATGGCATCAAAATTGGAAGAAGAATCTTTTTTACTCAGATGACATCTTATTTGAGGAAAGTAAGGAGAACTTGATATCCTTACTGCAGAAGATCAAACACTGCAGCCTTCAATGTGGGTTACATCTCAATATTCTGAAAATAAAAATGTTTGCCACTGGACATGGAGAAAAGATTGAAACTATAAAACAACTTCATTTTACTTGGGTCCATTATTAATACATTGGGGACAGCAATCAGGCAATCGGGAGACATATTGCAATGGAAAAGTCTGTAATCTGTAATCAGGGACCTCTGAAAATTACTGAAGAACAATGATGTTATTTTGAGGACTAAGGTGCACCTTATTTATAGCATGGCTTTTTCATTCACTTGTTTTGCTGCTGAGAGCTGGACAATTTATATTAATGACAAAAGAAGAACTGGTGCCTTTATGGTGGTAGAGAGGAGACTGAATATGCCATGGACTGCTCTTTGGCAGCAAGGATGATGAAGCTTCATTTCACCTACTTTTGGCATGTTTCTTGGAAAGGCTATTCCTTGGAGAGGAACATTATGCTTGGAAAGATGGGGGGATGGCAAAGGAGAGGGAAACCCTTAACCAGCTATACTGACACAGTGACTAGAGCAATGGGCTTGAGTATGTCAGAGATTGTGTGATTGGCACAGGATAGGACAGGGTTCAAATCTGTTATTCATAGGGTCACTATGACTTGACTTGATGACACCTAACAACAACAATAACAACATCATCACTTCATTACCACTTTCACTGCCCTTGATTGATCTTTGTGAGCTGTTATCAGCACTTCTCTTACAGCCTCTTCATTGACTTGTCTTTCTCACTTGAGTTCATCACCTGCTGTCCAACTATCACATTATTCCAGGTTTAACTTCCTAAGGCTTAGCTACTTCCCTTCTTGGATATTTTTTGCATTCATATGCCATCTTTCAGCACAAGGAATCAAAGAGCCTCAATAGTTTGATGCCTATATATTACCCCATTACCTCTCTTCCTTCTCCTCACACTCAGTCTCCAATTCAAACACCCTTCAATCTTTGTGGTTTCTGGAACCCACCTTGCCCTTTCCCATCTTCATGCATTTATTTAATTGGAACCCACTACTCAGAATGCGATTCTTCTGCTAGTTAAAAACATGCTAGTCACCACTCTCTGAACCTAAAATCAACAGTTTTAAATATGTCTATCTCTGATTTGTGTTCTTGGGTGGTACAAACAGTTAACGAGCTTAGCTTTTACCTTAAAGATTAGAGGTTTGAGGCCATCCAGAGGTGTCTGAGAAAGATCTGTTGATTTACTTTGAAGAGGTCAGCCATTGAAAACTCTGTGGTATGCAGTTCTATTGTAACACATACAAGGTCATCATGAATTGAAATTTATTTGAAAGCAATTGTTTTTTTATCTAGTTGATCAGGAAGTAGCCTCAGAGGAAAAAGAATTTGAATCATATTTATCTGTTTCTAGAACACCTAGACCAGCAGTTGTAAGAGATGTACTCAACTACTATGACTCAAATGACATACTAAACTTTTTCTTTTTTATTCCTCTAGACTCAAGGAAAATATGAATTTGAGCTGACAGACTTTGAATCATATGCAGACTTTGAACATGCAGTGGCAAAAGAATCAGTTTCCATGTCTAGTTTCAGCTTTGGCTTTAAAATACCTACCATATTTGAACTTGGCTTTGATTTTGCAAAAGCTAATAGTGAGCAATTTATTAGAAGAATCAAACGATTTGCTTCTACTGTAAGTATGCTTGTTTATGTGTTCATATTTGCATGTATTAATTTTAAATCTCATTTCTATAGGTATATCTGATGCCCTCATTACTAATAGAAACCTAGTATACTGTTGTCTTTCCAATTTTTTTTAAAAAACAAACCCAAACTCAACCTGATGTTAATGTAGCTTTAAAAGAGGCCTAGCAACCGCAGCCTTCTATAATTGCTTTCTTTCATTGTGTCATAAATTCTGTTCCTTTGTTTGTCATTAAGTGTAAGATTATAGCTTTGTCAATCCAAAATCTCTTCAGAGACTCTTCTGCCTACGGCGTTTTGACTTCTACCTCACACATTCAGATGAATTCCTCTCTGGAATATCACTGTTGTTGTTATTGTTGATTGCCTTCAAGTTGAGCATGACTCTAGTGGCCATATGAAAAAAAACAAAAGGCCTGATGCCACTCTACAACTATCGACATTTATCAAAGTTCATAGAGTTTCCAGAGGCATGTTGTTTAGGAAGTGGATGCTACTCCTGCTTCCAAGGAATATCACTGGAGACCTTCAACTTCTTGTGGCTTTTGGTGGAGTTGACTACACCATGGCTCCCCTATTATTCCAGTTTTTCCCTGCTCCTCACCACTTTCTTTCCTGGGTTCCAGAACCCTCAGCTTTTCTTTAAATATTTGGTATGTGACTGTCTTGCCTTCTTACTCCACAATTGACCTTCAATGATCTCTTCTGCTTTCCATATCTATAGGCATGAAGCATGAACCTTCATCACTGATTCTAACCATTCTTGGAAGCTCTGCTCTTCTATCGCCCACTCTTCCAGACATTGTCATCTGGTGCTTTGCTCACTCACCAAAGCAAGTCCTGTCTCCTACATATTCTGTGCTAATAACATTTCCCCCCTTCATCTTTTCCAAACTAAGAACCAGAGAATTATATTTGGCTCAGACTTCTACTTCATTTTCACATCTGTTGGTTATCAAATCCCTCAGTTACTGTTCTCTAATATTTTAAAATCTAATGTTTCTTATAATTTCAATCAACCTAGGCTCTTTCACTGATCTACTCTTCTAAACAGCCCCCCAAATTCCCCCTTCACATCCATGTGCTGCCATCTCCTTTAGTACTAATGCAATTGTGATGGGCAATCTCCTCCTGTGCAATTAACTGCCTCATAAAAGGTAGGGATCGACAGAACATTAATCTGAGCAGAGCTTTGAGGAGAGCAAAGCTGAAGTCTACAGTGATATGATTCCTATGATGAGAATAATGGTGGCTTCTCAGAAGGGACTATCTCTCATGTCTACATATTAACCACAGGAGATGGGTGGTAACTAGCTAGATTGTCTTTTTTTATTTTCTAAGCTGTGATTTACCTTATAGCATAGACTGTTTCTTTCCTTTCTAAAGTCAGAATGACATTCAGTAGGTGCTTGAAACTGAATCAAGTGAAGAAGGATACAACTAGGAGCAAAATAAAAGGTGTTATCTATTTACATTCTTTATCTATCTCCCACTCCCCTTCCCTGATTCAAATAGACAACTGTAGGATGATCTCATGTACTATGATCACCCTGCAACTGTCTATTTGAACCTAAATGAGATTTGAGATCAAAAGAAACAGTTCTTGCTTTCAATCTTGAAACCTAGTAGAAGCAATATTCTAAAAATATAAGCTGATACCTTGCTATTAACTTTTTAAACATCAGTTATAAGATGTGATTGTATATTCTAGAAAAGAAATATAATAAAAATACAGGAAAATTCTCAAGAAGGGAATGTTTGCCTGAGAAAATAAAAGATGGTACTAAAAAAGAAAAAGGATGATATCTAATAGGAATATGGACTCTGGTGATTGTATGGTAGAATTCTTGCCTTGAATGAGAAAGCTGGTTTGATTCCTAGACAATGTATACTTCAACTAGAGTCACCATTTGTCACCAATGGAAACATGAACATTACTGTGATGCTGGACACATTTCAGTGAAGCTTCTAGACTAAAATGGAATAGAAAGAAAGACCTGGTTATCTACTTCTAAAAAGCAACCATCGAACATCCAATCTTCTGTTTCATTTAGCAGTTAAACACATTAACCATTGGCTCCACTTAGAGACCTCTTGTTATATGAATACATCCTATGTTATGATGACACATCTCATGTTGTATTAGGGAGCTCTGAGGCTTAGTGGTAAGGAGTTATACTGCCAACCCAAAGATACATGATTCAAATCCACTAGCTACTCCATGGGAGAAAGATGTACAATCAACTTTCATGTAATTTATTGCCTCTGAAAACCCACTGGAAGGTCAACTGTAATTCAGTTCCAACTTGGTGGTACTTAACAAAAACAATGTATTATGTTGAGGGAACTCCGGTGGCTGAGTGGTGCCAACTCAAAGGCAAGTGGTTAAAATTCACCAGTTGTTCTAAGGAAGAAGGATGGGCAATCTCCTAATGTGTGATTTATGTTGTTTTTGTTGTTATGTGCTGTCAAGTCACTTGCGACTCATAGCGACCCTATGTACAACAGCCCTAAACTCTACTCTGTCCTGTGCCAATTGCACTGTCTCTGACATTCCCATCCTGATTATCCCAGTCACTAAATCAATCTACCTCATAGAGGGAATTCCACTCCTGCACCGTCCTTCCACCCTATGAAGCATGATGTCCCTCTCCAAGGACCGGTCCCTCCTTACAACATGTCCAAAGTATGTTAGACGGAGCCTCAGAATCCTTGCCTCCAAGGAGCAGCCCGGTTTAACCCTTTCCAGGATGAATTTGTTTGTTTTCCTAGCAGGCCATGGTACACTCAATACTCTCTTCCAACACCACAGCTCAAAGTCATCAATTCTCTTTCTTTCCTCCTTAGTCATTGTCCAACTCTCTGATGCATAACAAGTGATACCAAAGACTATGACCTCTATCAGATGCACCTTAGTCTCCAGAGAGACACCATTGCTCTTCAGTACTTTGGAGAGGTCCCTAACAGCAGACTTTCCCATGGCAATACATCTTTTAATTTCCTGGCCGCTTGTGCCAAGAGTGTTGACTATGGAGCCAAGCAAACTAAAACTGTGAACAATCTCAATCTCTTCACCCTCCATCCTGATGTTGCCCATTGGTCCAGTGGTGAGAATCTTTGTCTTCTTGACATTGAGCCTCAGTCCATTGGAGGCTGCAGTCCCCAATGAAGAGTCAGCTCTAAGTTGGATCTGACTCAAAGGCACACAACAGCAACAGCAACCTCTATGTTATATTAATACATCCTGTTTTATACTTTATCTTTGGAAGCAGGAGTGGCATCCACTTCCTAAACAACATGCCTCTGGAAACTCTATGAACTTTGATAAATGACGATAATTATTGAAAGGATTTAGGCCTTTTGTTCATAGGGTCACTATGAGTCATGCTTGACTCGAAAGCATCAACAAGAATAACAATTTCATATAGTATCATCGTCATCTTTTGGTCAATCAGGCTAAGAGTAGGCATGGGCTTTTTTACCACATCAAAGATTTGTTTTCTAGATAGGGGTAGAATCAGTCTCTCAACCTCATAACACATTTCTACAGAACTAAGCCTCTTTTTCACATTTACAATCTGTCCCCAGGGACAGTGTGGTCAGTAAGTATGGACCTAATTACCAATCTATGAAGAGCAATCTCACGTTTTTAATTATCTTAGCAATACGGTGGAGCCCACATGAAATGGTTCAGTACGCATTTGTAGGCAAGCACAGGCAAGCCGGAGCTTACCTTGGTCCTAGCGAATCCCTCTGGGGCCATCTCATAGACCAGAATGGTGTCACCACACATTTTCTGTAAATGTGAATTAGGAGTAAATAGTAAATATTTTAGGCTCTTTGGGATCTTTGAGTATTTCTCATAATTCCCTAATGCTGTCACTTTAATATTGAAGCATCTGTGAACACTCTATGAATAAATGTGGCTGTGTTTCAAGAACATTTTGCTTCTTTATATAACAATAGGCCTTGAATCTGGTCTGTGGGCTATAGTTTGTTGACTCCTGCCTTTAATTATAACATCTAGCGTTCCTAAAGCACTATTTTAATGCTTCTTGAGTGGTTTTTCTTCTTGGAGTTTAATAGGACTAAGCAGAGGTTGCCTGTTTAGATCAGCAAACTTTAGACAAATGGGACCTTGGTATCTCATTAAAACAACCTCGCTACGCCCACTTCTCAGTGTTTTATCTGTTTCCAGTAACTCTCCACCTGCCACATTCACTACTGAACGGCCGGGTGAATTAAGAGCCAGCTTTTTCAAGCTGACAAGGACATCGGAATATTTATGAGAAAGGAAAGCTTGTCAAAGAGACCCTCTTTCCTGTGTATCCTAAAAGAATAGTAAGAGTGATGACCCCAGGCCAAGAACGTAGGATGATATTTGTAAAGTTCATCTTCTCATTCCAGAGTTCTAACTTTAAAGGTCTGGTTTTCCCATGCTGGTATTTCATTTAGAAAAGCATGTTTCTGCACGCGCGCTGTGACCTTGAAGTTGCCCACTACAAGCTGAAGTCCAGAAACCTCATGCTCCATTACGAGTTCCTTCAGAGAGTCAAGCGGCTGCCCCTGGAGTACAGCTATGGGGAGTACAGAGATCTCTTCCGAGATTACGGGACCCATTACATCACAGAGGCTGTGCTTGGAGGCATTTATGAATTCACACTCGTTATTAATAAGGATTTCGTGGAAAGATCAGGTACACTTGCCTAGGGACCTTGGCTTTCTTGAAGGGGCAAATGTAAACTGTGAATTGATGGGAGAGACTTCTATTAATCGGAGGAGAAGAGTGGTGGGTTGTCTTGTTTCCCCTCTACCCTCGAGCTACAGCAACACAGTTTCATTTCCAAGTTCCTCTCTCTCTCCTTGACATGGTGCTCTGTTTGGGTTTCTCCTGCTTTCTACTACTTCTCTCTGTCTGAAAGATCTCATACAATATCATGACTTTAAAAGTCTTCTACATAAAGATAACTTTTAATCTATGCATCTACGCTTCTCTTCATTCTTTAATGCGGCTGTAACAGAATCATCAACAAGTGAGCGTCTTTAATGAACAGAAACCTGTTTTCTGTTTAGAAGCCAGAAGTTGTAATTTGGGGCCCTGTCTCTAGAGGGCGCTTTCTCTCTGCCCATTCTGGAGTGAGGTCCTTGTCTCAGCTTCTTCCCTCTCAGTATTCTTCAGTTCCTTAGTAATCTCCCTGTGGTTTTTACCTTGGTCATTTGTGTTTCCTCGCATTTTACTTACTTTGCTCTTTTTTAGATGTCAAAAATGGTTAGCTTTAAAATATACTCTACACTGATATGCATAATTAATACAACAAAGAAATCTCCGTTCCAAAATGGATTTATATCCACAAGTACTGTTAGATGTCACTGAGTCAGTTCTGACTCATACATAGTAGCACTGCTGTTGTTTGGTGGTTTTGTTGTGTGTTTTTTTGTTGTTGTTGTTTTTATGTGCTGCAAATCTCCTGCAACCCTTAGTGACTCTGTGTACAACAGCTCTGAAATCTGCTACATCCTGAGCCAGTCTCCTACACACCTACTTTCATTACACCAGTTACTGTGTCAATCCAGGGTCTTCCTCTCCTATGCTATCCCTCCACCCTTCCCAGTATGATGTTCTTCTCCAAGGATCGGTCCCTCCTGGCCACATGCCCAAAGTATGTGAACAAGAGCTTCAAAATCCTAAGTTCAAGAAGAAACTTGGTTTTATCCTCTCCAAGGCAGATGTATTTGTTTTCTTGGTGGTCCATGGTATGTTGAATACTCTTCTCCAGCACCACAACTCAAAGGCATCAATTATTCTTCTGTCATCCTTGGTTGTTGTCCAACTCTCTGATGCATAGCAAGTAATTGTGAAAACTATGGCCTGGATCAGGCCCACCTCAGTCTCTAGACTGACATCCTTGCTCTTCAGCACTCCAGAGAGGTCCTTGACAGCAGATTTTCCTAATGCAATTAATTCATCTTTTAATTGCCTGACTGCTGTGCCAAGAGTGTTGATTGTGAAGACAAATAAGCTGTAACTGTTAACAACCTCAATCCCTTCTTCTATCATGGTGCTGCCAATTGGTCTCATGGTGAGAATCTTTATTTTCTTGATGTTGAGTTTCAATCCATTTTGAAGACAATAGTCCTTGACCTTCTGCAGCAAGTGCTTCAGTTCCTCTTGGTTTCAGCAAGCAAAGTTGTGCCATCTGCATAACGTAGGTTGTTGATGAGTCATAGCATAGTTAGTTGTTTTATGGACAATAGAGTGAAACATTGCCTAATCCTATGCCATCTTCACAATCTCTGCTCTGCTTAAATAAATTGTTGGAGTCAGTGTAACAGTCCATCTCAGTAAAAGTCTTCCTCTCTTTCTACGACTGTCTACCAAATGTGATTTCTTTCTTCAGGGACCAGCTCTTCTTGATTCATGTTAAAATATGTGAGACAAAAAAAGTCTCACATCTTTGCCTCTAAAGTACAAAATAGCAAGGATGTCACTTTAAGACTAAGGAGAAATTGAAAACACTATAAATCAGGCATATCTTTATAAAGATATGCCGTATGTGTCTTTATAAAGATAAGCCTGATCCAACCTATGATATTTTTATTTGTACATGAATGCTGGAAAATGAATAAGAAATACTGAAGAAGAATTAATGCTTTTGAATTGTGACATTGGCAAAGAATATTGATTATATCACAATTGCCAGAAAAGTAAACAAAATCCAAAAATTCACAAGTATAGGAGTTTGGGTTGGAAAATACATTTTTTTTTTAGTTAAACATTTCAATTCCTACCAGTCCTAGATCCCTTTCTTACACTAAAAAGCTTATGTCAAAATGCCTCCTTGAATGTCTAAAAACCATTATAAACTCAACATGCCATAAAGAGAAGTTTCTTTCCCAAATATTTCTTCTTCTACAGTATTTACATCTCAGAAATGGTTCCACCACCCAACTGGCAACCTAGACCAGAGACATAGGGATCAACTTTGATTATTCTTGCTTTCTTCTAGTCTATTAACACATTCTCACATATCACTGGTTCTACCTTTTAATTCTATTTTCTCTTCATCTTTTCTATTACCACCTTAGGCTTACTCTGAGACCAGTGCTTTAATGCACAAACATATTCTTTTAGAATCTAGTTAAAACATAAATTCTCATTTAGCACATTTGGGATAGACCCAAGATTCTGTATTTTTAATAAGCTTTGTGGTGACACTGCTGCTACTGGTCAACAGACACTTTAAGCAGAAAAACTTCAAATTCTTACAATAACACCCTAATTAATATACCGTGCCCATTTCTTTCCTGTCACCCGTCACCCACAGCAAATAGTGACGTTTCCTACCCATAAAATAAAAGAATGTCACACTTCTACCTTTCCAACTCAGTAGTTATTGCTACAGGAGTGTTGGTGGCACAAGGGTTAAGGACCTGACTGCTAACAAAAACAGACAGTGGTTCAAATATACCCGGGGTTTCTCAGGGGAAAAGACCAGGTGATCTGCTCACATAAAGATTGTAGCCTAGGAAAGCCTATGATGCAGTTCTATTTGATCCATTGGGGTCAGTAGGAGTTACAAACAATGAGATAACAAATCCGATTTGGTTCTATTTTTATCAGGTCTTTCTTCCACGGGTAGGTTCACACTATGAATCTTCTGGCCAGAGGACAAGTGCACACTGTGTGTGCCACCCAGGGACCTTGCCAGAAAACACAGTGTGTTATGGAAAGGTAGGTCAGCATGACCTCTGATTTGTCAAAATCAGAAATACCAATAGTTTGAAACGTGCATCATTTTGTTCTTCAAACTCTTCTCCACAAAATAGTCTCTGCACTCAAAGAAGTTAGGGAAATGTTACATGCTAACCCACCCTTGGAGTTTCAGAAGCTGCACTGCAGTAAAATTACTTCTTCAGCCTTTATGACAGAATGTTTGTCCCATAGAGTGTTCTTGGCTATAATTGCTTGAGAAGCAAATGCCCAAGTTTCTCTCTTGCAGAGCCACTGTGTTGATTCAAATGGCCAGTCTTTCAGTTAGTAGCCAAGCTCTTAAGGGCTATACCACCAGGACATTTTCATATGAAAATGAAGCTTCTTTTATCTACTCATTGCTAATGTCAGATGGATCCTGGCTGAAAGTGACCAATACCGGAAGAACATCTATTTATGCTTTATTCACTATGCAAAGGAATTTGACTGTATGGATTATAACGAGTTGTGGCTGACATTGAGAAGAATGGTAGGCCCAGAGCACTTAATTGTGCTTATGCAGAACCTACATCTGGACCAGGAGGCTGTTGTGCAAACAAAGCAGGGGAACACTGAATGGTTTAAAATTAAGAAGGGAGTGCATCAGATTTGTATTCTCTCTCCATACCTATTCATTCTGTATGCTGAGCAAATTACCCAAGAAGCTAGACTCTATGAAGAGAAATGTGGCATCAGGATTGAAGAGAGAGTCATTAATAACCTGCGTTATGCAGATGACAAAACCTTACTTGCTGAAAGTTGAGGAGCATTTGCAGCACTTGTTGCAAAAGATCAAGGAATGCAGTCTTTGGCATGGACTGCTTCTCAATGTCAAGAAAACAAAGATTCTTACCACGGACCAATAGGCAACATCATGATGGATGGAGATGAGATTGAAGCTATCAACAGCTTCATCTTGCTTGGATCCACAATTAACACCCTTGGGACCAGCAGCCAGGAAAGAAGGAGACACATTGCACTGGGAAAAATCTGCATTTAGGGACCTCTCCAAATTACTGAGGAGTAATGATGTCAGTTTTAGGACTAAGGTGCATCTGATTTCGGCCACGGTCTTTCTAATCACTTGCTATTCATCTAAGTGCAGAGCAATGAATAAGGATGATAGGAAAAAATTGACACCTTTGATCTGTGGTGTTGGAGAAGAGCACTGATCAGCCTATGGATGGCCAAGAGAATGAACAGGTGTGTCTTGGAGAGGGTGTGGGCAGAGAGTTCTTTGGAGGCAAGAATGATGCGGCTTTGCCTCACATATTTTGGGCATGTTGTCCAGAGGGGCTATTGCTTGGAGAAGAACATGATGCTGGGAAAGGTGGAGGGTTGCTGGAGAGGAAGACCCTCAACCAAGTCAGGAAGTGTATAAGGATGGCTCAGGATAGACCTGGGTTCAGATATTTGTTCATAGTGTCACTATGAGTTATACTTGACCTGACGGCCCCTAACAACAACAGTATTTATCAGGGTTAGTATTTCATGGAATACACTTTGGAAAGACTGATTTCCACCAACATTGCAGGTCTAAAGCAAGACTCAGCTCTGCTCTTCCTGCCTGCACTAAAAGATATCATTGGAAATGCTACTGAAAAATACAAATCAAAGCTGAGAGTTCAGTGAGAACGAGGAGAAGAGGAAGCTCTGGAAAGAGTGAGGAAGTGGGAAATGGTTCAAAGCTGAAAGGCAAATTCTTACCTAATGAAAACCCAAACTTAACTGTCATTGAATTGATTCCAGTTCATTCTGACCCCATATGATAGCACCGAACTGCTCTACTAGGTTAATATGAACACGAATAGACTGTGCATCCTTTTCCTTGGAGAAACTGGTGGGTTTGACCACTGACCATTCCATCAGCAGCACAGTCCTTAAGCATTATTCCACCACGGCTCCTTAGTATACTTCAGTTCCCTTCTTTTTTGCCAAGCACTGTTCCAGACACTTCCTGTACAATAACATGATTAATCAGGGACCCCCTATGTGATTCAAAATGGTAAGCACTCTACTACGTGCTGAACAGTTTGAACTCACCCAGAAGCATCTTAGAAGTTCTGATGATCTTCTCTCAAAAAGCCACAGCCTTGAAAGTGTGTTTGGAATAGTTCTGTTCTGCACACCAGTTGTCTTGAGTTGGAATTAACTTGAAGACAATTAACAATGGTAACAACAACTTCAGTGAATTCATTCACAAGCTCTTTCTACAGCAAAGATTCAAAGGACTGGGGCACAAGAAGCTATTTCAGCAGCCTTTGTACTCACTGGATCTATCTCTAAAGACTAGCAGGGAATATAATTTCTAGAATATAATGCTAAGTCCATCTCCTGTTTGTAAAGTAGAAAAAACCCTCAGAATGGGGATTGAAGGGGAGGCTAACATTGAACTTGTGTGAAGTCTCTGCCTTGGCACCTACAGTTTCTGCCATAGGTGTCCCCAGAGAAACAAAAACAATTTAACAAATAAGTTGAGGTGGCGGGGGGGGAGAAAGCGAGAAAGAGAGAGGGAGGGAGGGAAGGAGAGGGATTGACAGAGAGAAAGAGAGAGATTGAGAGATTGAAATTAGTTGATCTGGGTTTTGTTTGGTTTTTGTTGTGGTTTTTTTTTTTTTTCAGTTGATCTGTTTTAATGAATTGACTCATAGAAATTGAGAAGGTTATGAATAGGGAAACTAACAAGTCCTAAATCTGTAAATCAGGTGACAGATAGGCTTGTGTCCCAAAATTTGTAGGTTGAGAGGTGGGAAGAGTGAAGAGTGAGGGAGTTATGGCAAAATACTTATTTTTAAGTCTGGAGGCAGAACAAACCCTAAGAAAAGTCCCTTTTTGTTTCTTAAGTCTATGACTAATTGGTTGTGCTCCACCCACATTATGGAAGGCAATCTGTTTTACTCAACACCAACTGATTGCATCACATGCAAATATTGCCGAGTCATCCCTGGGTGATGCAAGTGATTACCACCTTGGAACAAAGGGCTGGCGATCTTGTTCCAAAAACGTATGAGTCGCCATTAAAAACCTTATGGAACACTGTTCAGCGCTGACACATATGGGGTCTCTCTGAGTGTGAATAGACTAGATGTCAACTGGGGCTATTTTTTTAAAATACTGCTTCATAACAGCAATTATAATCGTGTTTGACCAAACAACTGGGCACTCTAGCCTAGCCAAGTTAACATAAAATTAACATCGCAGCTGTCTGCAATATATGGGCCTGGCAACCTATTTAAGTGAGCCAAAGTCTCTCTGGGGTCCCATGCAAGCCAGGAAGGCCTGGGCCCCTGGATTCTATCATGCAGAAATAGTAAAAATCCACTGCCATTGAGTGCAACTCATAGCAACCCTGTAAGGACTGAACAGAGCTGCCTGTGTAGGGTTCCAAGGCTCTAATTTGTTCTGGAAGCAGACTGCCATCTCCTCCTCCCTTACAGTGGCTGGGAGATTCAAACAGCCCACCTTTTGGGTAGCATTTGAGCACTGATCAGTGGTGGCTCTGAGTCACCGGGAGCCTGCAGGGAAAGGATGAATTGCCTTTTAAATTGTGGGTCTCTTTGCTTTGTTTCCTACAGATTTCTCTCTTGACAATGTCCGGGACTGTGCCAAAGGCGGTTTTAAAATTCAAGTACCTATCAAAGCAGTGACGGTCAAGGGGAGTGTGTCGTTGGACATATGCAACGCCATTCTGAAAGAAATAGAAGGTGAGTGGCAGGGGAATGGAATTCTTTTGTTTACAGTCTATGCCTCCCTATTGGACACCTATCTTCGTCTTTCTGTAAGCTAAAAATGGAGCTTTTCAAGACATTTTCATGAAAAGACTAACAATTCATCCAATAAAAATGTACTAAGCTTCTACTATGTATGGCTGTTGTATGTAATCTAGGTAGTTCTTATTCATAGTGACTCTGTCCCTGAGAACAAGCCCAGCCTGGGCCTGGGCCAGCCTCACAATCATGGCTGAGTTTGAGCCCATTGCTGCAGTCTATGTGTCAATACATCTCAGCAAGGCTTTCCCTCTTTTTCACTGACTCTTTGTTTTGTCAAATATGATGTCTTTGTCCAGGAATGGCACCTGGTTTCTGAAATAGATATAAAAATTTACACCCCTATCTGTAGTGCAAGAGCGTGATATTTTTACACAGCTCAGGTGTTTCTTACTTGGATGTGAGTAAATGCTTTCCACAAGTTCTCTTGACATTAGACACCTGGATGAATCAGAATAGGAATGACTCATTAATATGACTTGGGGCTTACTGGGTAGAACCATAAAACCAAACAGCAAACCCACTGCAATCAAGTTGATTCCAATTCATGGTGACTTTCCATTAGATTCCTGAGCTGTAAATCGTTGGGGAGAGGGATTCTTTTTCTCCCACTGAGCTGGTGAATTTCATCTGCTGACCTTTTGGCCCAGCATGTCCCTCTACCAGGACTCCTTCAGAGTAACCCGGTTGTTATTAGAGTGACACTGAGTTGATTGACTATGGCTCATGACCACCCTGTGAACAACAAATTGGAACCCTGTCCTATCCTGTGCCACCCTCATCATCTCTGTTGGGCACAGACCCACTGTGGTAATCATGGTGTTAATCCATCTCATTCAAGGTCTTCCTCTTTTGTTGGTCTTCTACTTTTTCCAGTGTTACGTCTCTCTCCAAAGACTTGTTCCTCCTATAACCCTCTGCTGTTGTTGTTACGTGTTATCAAATTGAGTACAACTCATAATGACTCTGTGAACAACAGGTCTGAACCCTGTCCTATCCTGTGCCGTCCTCACAATCTGTGACACACTCAAGTTCATTGCTACAGTCACTGCGCTGATCCACCTGGTTGAGAGTAACTTGAAATACTAATCATTTCATTGGAACTACTGTTCAATGAGTATCTATGAATTTCTCTACCTTTCTCATCATATATAAAAAAGTAACATAGCTTAGGGCTTGGACAGGCCTATCTCTATAAGCTCCTTCAACATAGTGCCTCAGTTCTATAAAATGAGGATCATTTTATCTATGTTTTTTTTCTATTTCATTAGTGAAAATTGAATCAGTATATGTGCAATATTTTGCACAATAAATGATCAATTATTAGAAGTTATTATTGAGCCATCTGTTCTCTCTTTCTGTCTGTCTCTGTCTCTCTGTCTCTCTCCCTCTCTCTCTCTCTCTATATATATATAAAAGAAAGATAGATAGTCCACCTTTTAGGTAATAAAAAAAAATCACACCGTTTGACTGGTTTTTCCAAAACTATGTCAATAAAAAGAATTGAGCTTCATGCCTGCCAAATTACACAGCGAGTGGGGCAGATGGGGTGAACTGAGTTTTCAGTCACACAGGCTCTACCACACTCCACATTGACAAAGAAGTTGTGGTTTTACACCTAAACAGTTGTAGTTGTTATGTACTGTCAAGTCACTTATGACACATATAGTGACCCTATGTATAATAGCCTTAAACCTTGGTCTGTCCTGTGCCAATCTTGTCCCTGACACACCTAACCTCACTACCCCAGTCACTGAATCAATCCATCTCATCGAGGGTCTTCCTCTCTTGCACCATCCCTCCACCCTCCCAAGCATGGCGTCCCTCTCCAAGGACTGGTCCCTTCTTGCAACATGTCCAAAATATGTCAGATGAAGCTTCAGAATCTTTGCCTCCAAGGAGCAGCCTGGTTTCACCCTTTCTAGGACGAACCTGTTTGTTCTCCTAGCAGTCCATGGTATATTCAATATTTTTGTCCAGCACCACTTTTGTCCAGCTCAAAGGCATCAGTTTTATTTCTTTTATCCTTAGTCCAGGTTTCTGATACATAGCAAACAATTTTAAAGACTATGGCCTGGATCAGGCACACCTTAGTCTCCAGATTGACATTGTTGCTCTTCAGTACTTTGAAGAGGTTTCTGACAGCTGGCTTTCCCTATTTAATCTTTTAATTTCCTGAATGCTGGTACCAAGAGTGATGATTGTGGAGCTGAGAAAACTAATGCTGTTAACAATCTCAAGCTCTTCACCCTCTATCATGATGCTACCGATTGCCTCAGTGGTGAGAATCTTCATTTTCTTGATGTTGAGCTTATTAAAGGCTGCAGTCCTTGACATTCTGCAGCAACTGTTTCATTTCCTCCTCAGTTTTAGCAAGCAGGATTGTGTTCTCTGCGTAATGCAGATTGTTGAGGAGTCTTCCTCCAATCCTGATACTACATTTCTCCTCATAGAGCCCAACCTCCCGGATAATCTGTTCTGCATATAGGTTGAAAAGGTGTGAAGATAGGACACATCCCTGACATATATATATACCCTTCCCAATTTTGAACCATGCAATGTTTCCTTGTTCTGTTCTGATGACTGGCTCCTGGTCCAAGTATAGGCTTCACAAAACACAATCGAATGTTCTGGGATTCTCATTCTTCTCAGAGTTAGCCCAGTTTGTTGTGATCCACATAGTCAAATGCCTTTGCATACTCAATGAAATGCAGATAGACATTCCTCTGGTACTCCCTGCTTTCAGCCAAGAACCATCTAACATTAGCTACAATATCCCTAGTACCATAGCCTCTTCTAAATCCAGCCTGCATGTTAGGCAGTTCTCTGCTGATGTGCTATTCCAGTCATTTTTGGATAATCTTTAGCTGAATCTTGCTTGCATGTGATATCAATGATGTTGCTCAATAATTTCTACACTCTGTTGGATCACCTTTCTGTGGAACGGGAACAAATATAGATCTCTTCTAGTCAATTGGCCAGGTGGTTGTCCTCCAGACTTCTTGGTACAACTTGGTGAGCACATCCAGGGCAGCATCAGTTTGTTGAAATACATCAATTGGTATGCCATCAATTCCTGGGGCCTTGTTTTTTGTCAGTTCTTCAGAGCAGCTTGAACTTCTTCCTTCATCACTACAGGCTCTTGCTTGTACATTGTTTCATGAAATTCTTCTGTGTCAGCCAATTTTGGTACAAAAATTTTGTGTACACTTTCTATCTTCTTTTAATGCTTCCCGGATCATTTATTATTCTGCCAGAGCATCCTTAAGTATCACAACTCAATGCAGGTCTTGTTTAAAATTTGGTTCTATGATCTACTACTTTACGGGCCTGGGAACATGACTTAAATGCTAGTCACAGACCTCGTCATTTAAAAATTATTGTCACAACAAAACAACATGTAATTCTATATCTTCTAGTCTAGTTGGTAGGGAGTTGTACTGACAACCCAAAGTCAGACAACTTGAATCCACCAGCTTCTATGAGGAAGAAAGATGAACAATCTCTTCTGGTGTGATTTAAAGCCTCTGAAAATTCTGCTAGATGGTCAGGTATGAGTTGGTTGTGACTCAATGGCAGTGTATTGAGTTATCATCTATCTGTCTGTCTGCCTATCTATATCATATAACTACCATTTATTGTCCTTTTGTCATCTGTATATCTTCTACTACCAAGTACCATCTATCTATTTGTCTACCTGTCTTTCTCTGCCACTTGATTGATGGATCAATCATTCTTCCATAGACTTAGTCAGTGACCGGAATTCATCACTCACTCTTTCCTGTTGAATCAGAACTGACTCCTTGCTGACTCTCCAGGGGCTTTTACAGAGGTTGTAAATAAAAAAGCAGGAGATTGTCCATCTTTTGCCCATGGAGCAGCTGCTAGTGGATTAGAACCACTTGCCTCTGATTTGGCAGCTCAGCTTCTTACCCAGAAGGTTACCAGAGCTCATTTAAAACTTATGGATGTTTAAAATAAACATATCTTTCTTGTCCTCCTCTAACTTGTGTTATATGTCGATGGATGAGCTTCCATCTTTTCCCATGATTCATGACTCCGCTGGAGCTAGGGATGCTCGCTGTCCACGTCACATCCTCAGGACTCAACTCAGTAGATGTTATGTGCCATTGCTGCAGAGTAAATTCCAAAGCACTACAGAGGATCTCTCCATGACATGACTGACAGCTCTGCATGTTCATTTCAGAAAGAAACAAGAGGGTGACTGCAGTAGACGATTTAGTGGTCCGAATACGAGGAGGGGCCAGTGAGCATATCACTGCCTTGGCATATGAAGAGTTGCCCACGGCAGACTTGATGCAGGAATGGGGAGATGCAGTGCAGTACAACCCAAGTATCGTCAAAATCAAGGTATGAGTAACTAACTACTCTATCCATTTGTTCTTGTAGTTACAAAAGAGTTTTGAAGACCTACTGCGAGCTAGGATAAGGGATACAAAAAGCAGTAAGATTTGTGCTTTTGCATTCCATGCATTACAGTGGAAAAATAGATCTGAATCGAACAGATAACAATACATCATTTGCACCTCATTGGTCTTGATTCTTCCTTCTCATTTGAGCCTCCGAGTTGCTGAAAGAAATTTACCTGCCAATTCTAGCCTTCTGAAATGAATATTCTTTCCATTGTGTCAGAGTGTCACTCATTCAGTTACTCATTCATTAATTAATTCAACCAACAAATAATTGTCAAATCCTTGTTATGTTGTGGGAAATGAATACTGAAAGAAAAGGGGATATACAAGGATGAAAAATACAGTCTATGCTAAAAAATAAAGTCCATATGCACACAACTATCTTACACGACAGGAGGATATCAGGATAACAATGAGAAAGTTTTGAACACATACTGTATTAATGATACTCTGCCAAAGGCATCAGGATGTGATTTACTTTCATCTGCACAACACTTCTACAAACCAAGTATTCTCATCTCTGTTTTTGATGAAGAGTCAAGAAGTTATATCCATCTGTAGCTGTTTTCTGCACCTGAAACCTTGACCATTTCCCTCTCTTCTAGACTCTCCTGTGGGTTTGGTGAATAGAAAATAATGATCCCAACCACTTGTCACCCAAACAAAAGGAGCTTTGCAACCTTAAACTAAAGAGACGTATGTTTGAGCAGGACTGTCATACACATCATCAGTGGTTGATCCTTGCCTGTGGGGACTTCAGCATAATGTCACATTTTACATCCTCTTCTTTCCATCGTGTGTAGAATCCTTGATGACCCAATATCCACCTCTAGATAGTTCCCCTGGCAGCCAAGGAGAGGAATTGAAGAATTGCAGCTATGATGTAAGATTCTGAAGTTCCCAACCACAGTGTTTAAATTGTTCAAATTAATTGTTTCTACAGAATAGGAAGGCTGCCATTCAAATCTTCCCCTCTCTTACTTACACAGTGGTGACATATGGGATACAGTCACTGGCAAGTGTGGAGAGGGATAAAGTCATATCCAGAAATCTGGAATTAACTAAAACTATGATAACATATTTATATCAGAAATGGCTATATGAGGGAACAGAATTTGGGACAATATAAGTTCCTGGCCTTTACTTTTTACTGAGATATCTTTAAGATTAAAAAACCCACAAACAACACAACAGGTTTTCAGATAGCTTAGATGTGTCAACCTTTCACTGAGAATGTTAGATTATAGACATGTGGTATGCGAGGGTGTGTGGATGGTGTATGTGTGTTGGAGGGAAGGTGAGAGGGGATGTGTTTGGTCAAGTCAGCGTGCTATGCATCTCAAGTAAGCCTCGCAAACACTCTTGGAAGTGTAGTACTTTGGTAAAGACATAGGCATTTCTCAATAAGATGTAGTAAAATGGATCACACTATCAGTGGTATATAATATGAGTTGGAAGAGGAAGAGCTATTTTAGAATCAGGATTCTTTTCAGGACTGTTACAGGGAAAGGCAAGACTATAGAAAGTTTTTACACAGCTTCTTTGGATCTTCCTTACTTAAGTTGTAGACATACATTCTGGGTACTCTAGTCTTTGATACACTCTTCCTAGCAAGAGGAAATGGCAGATGGCTTCCCATTCTATCAGAATAATGCTCTCTATAGAGTCAGCTTACAAAATAGCTAAAACAGTTATTGCCTAGCAGGACAATAGAGCTCAAGGAAAACTTCTCAGACACAAGGTAGTTGGCCAAGATTTATGCAAATAATCCGGTCTTCCAGATCAAGATCTAAAGGAGTTTCTATTGAATTCAGGTAAGCAGATAGAATAAAAGACCAGTTGTGAATCCCTTCATGTTGTGCACTGGCAAACTTTTAACAGGAAGAAGTGGCTCTTTGTTCAAAGAAGAGTTAAGAGAAAGCAATGAACATATAGAAAGATTTTGAACACAAAAGATATTATATTCAAGATACAGAAGAAAAGCTTATATCTGAAGTATAGATGAATAGAAGGAAATTTGAGAATGTATTTGCTTTGTAATTATAATAAAATTCAAGGAAGTGAGGCGTTTCTTAAACAAAAACTAGAAGCTGAGATGTTTAAACAATACTCAGATGACAAGGAAAGTGGCTGAGTATGGGAAACCCAAAGTACAATAGAAGAATTAAAAACTACATTGGAAACTATAAAGAACAGAATTGACACAGCAGAAAATTGAGTCAGTGATGTGGAAGGTACTATAAAAGTGTTCCTATAATACAGATGCCAAAGACAAAAAGATTAAAGCAATGCCATAAAAGAAATATGATGGACAAGAGTATAGAAGTAGAAATCTAAATCCCAAAGCCTTTTTCCTAAGAAAGAGATTAAATGTGAAGATGCATCAATCAAGCACACAATAAGAGGAGTTTCTCGGGTTGATAAAGCAGAATGAGCAACATACTGACAACTAGACAAAATTAATGAAAACAAAACTATACTGGAACAGAGTCTGGTTATTCTTTTAACTTTCAGGAACTGAAAAGGAACTAACAGACCTTGTGGTAATAAAGGTCAAACTTGTTTTAAAACTTTATGCAGCACTGTGCTATGTTTTGGGTTTCTAACTAAAAGATAGTCTGAATCCACCAGCTGCTCCTCAGGAGAAAGCTTGGCAGTCTCCTCCAATATAGATTTACAGCCTTGAAAACCTGTTAGGAGGTTGCCATAAAATGACAACAACTCTAGAATAGTGGATTTGGTTTTGATGCTAAGTGCCTGAAAACAGTAACATGACTGGCACAAGAACTTTAATGGGGAAAATGTCACTAACCTGCAAGATTGTCATTAGTGTATGAAGGTATTGAGAGTGAGGAATAAGATTACCATATTTACCAAATAATAACACAGAATGCTCAGGTAAATTTGAATTTCAAATACATAATAAGTAATTTTTAGTATAAGTATTCAGTGACTGGGGTAATCAGAATGGGTGTGTCAGAGGCAATGCGATTGGCACAGGATAGAGCAGGGTTTAGGGCTGTTGTACATAGGGTCGCTGTGAGTTGCAAATGACTCGATGGCACATAACAACAACAATCCAAATGGAGTCATTGGCTGATGCACATGGTTAATGAATTTTGCTGCAAACGGAAGATTAGAGATCTGACTGAGCCCAAAGAAAGCCAAAGGTCATCACAAATGCAGAGGAGTTGGAAATGAGCAAAATGGATGTCAGAAGAGACTGAAATGTCAATAGAATAAAAAGAAACCTAAACAAGGGGAATGAATGTAGAAGTAAGAGATCCAAATTAAAGATTTTAAAGAATAACTTAAGGAGACAAAGTAAAGTATTATAATAAAATGTGCAAAGAGTTGGAGTTATAACACCAAAAAGGAAGAACACACTTAGTATTCCTCAAGCTAAAAGAACAACAAATTCAACCATCCAGTTGCATTAGTGAAAGATTCTATGGGAAACATTTTGAGTGATGTAAGAAGCACCTAAAGAAGATGGGAGAAATACACAGAGTCACTGTACCAAAAAAGAATTGGTCGACATAGAACCTCTTCAGGAAGTAGAATATGATGAAGAATCAATGGTACTAAAAGAAAAAGTTCAAAGTGCACTGACGGCATTGACAAAAAAAAAGTCCTAGGAATTGGTGGGATGCCAACATGTTTAAACAAATAGATGCAGCCACTGACTAAAAGAGGTCCACATTTGTTCCAAATTAGGAAAAAAACCCAAAACAAACCATCCAACAGAGTGCAGAAACCCGTGAATAACATCACAAGCAAGTAAAATCTTGCTGAAGATTTTTCAAAAGCAGCTAGAAGAGTACATGAACGGATAACTACCAGGATTAAAGATAAGACTGCACTGCATGAGGTATGTCATTGCTGAAATCAGATGGATCTTGGCTGAATGTAGAGAATACCAGAAAGATGTTTATTTGTGTTGTGTTGACTATGCAAAGGCATTTTACCATGTAAATCAATAACAGATTGTGGTTAACATTGAGAAGAATGGGAATTCTAGAACACATAATTGTGCTGATGTGGAACCTATACACAAATCAAGAAGCAGTTATCTGAGCAGAGCAAAGGAATACTTCATGGTTTAAAAATCAGAAAACTTGTGTGCTGTGGTTTTATCTTTTATCCATATCTATTGAATGATATATGCTAAGCAAATAATTTGAGAAACTGGACTCTATGAGGAAGAATGTAGCATAAATATTGAAAGAAAACTCATCAACAACCTTGCTTACAAAAGTGAAGACTTGCAGCACTTACTGAAGAAGATTACAGCCATCAATATGGATGACATCTCAACATCAAGAAAACAAAAATCCTCACCACTGCACCAGTAGGCAACATCATGATAGATGGACAAAAGATCAAAGCTGTCAGTTGTCTCATTATCTTTGGATCCTCAATAAATACTCATGGTATTAGAAATCAAAAGAAGTTTTACACTGGGAAATTTTGTTGTTTATGATCTCTTTAGGGAGGTCTGGTGGCCTAGAGGCAAGAAGCTGCACTGCAATCCTGAAGACATGCAGTTTGAGACCACTAATTGCTTCTCAGGAAAAGGATGGGCAATCTCTTCCTGTGCAATTAACTGCCTCTGAAAACCCACCAGAGGGTCAGCTATGGGTCGGATCGGACTCTAGGGTACACAACAACATGATCTCTTTAAAGTATTAACAAGCAAAGACATCAGTTTAAAGACTAATATGTGCCCCATTAAAGCCATGGTTTTTTCAACTTTGGGTGGTTTCAGTCTATCAGCTATTCCTTAGGGGAAAGATGAGTTGTTTCCTCCCATTAGAATTTATAACCTTTGAAACCAGAAGTGTGGTCCCTATAAACTGGAATATGTGATGGCAATGAGTGATTATAGTTGTTAGATGGCAATGCATTGATTTGAGTTAGTCTTCTAATTATGTGCCT